TCTCCTGTCTCTCTTCTTCTTCTGTATCCCTTCATTTACTGCCTATTCATTTCTTTCTATTTAATTTCCTGTCCTTATTTTAAAGTCCCATGTTATTGCTCGCTTCTTAACACTTTCGATACCAGATTCCCTTCTGTCTTTCGCACTGAGTATCCTTCCAAACCCACCTTCTAATTCCTAACTCCCTCTGCTCCTCTTGGCCATGCACTTCCTATCACACTTCACACTCTGTGTGCCAAGTCACAAGCTGAAGTCAGTCTTGTTTTTCAGGCTGAATGCTACAGTTGGGCTTCACCCACTGTGAGCATGAATTACAAAATAAATTATGAAGCAGTTCTGCAGACAAAAAGACAAACACACTCATGATTTAAGCAACTTTAAATAACCAAATTGGCTTAAGGGGAAAATACACTGAGACACTTTGGGGGGGTTATGTGCATGTTCTCTGTGTTTCATGATGATTGCATCATGCCTTCAGTTCAGACAAGCAACGTAATAGAGAGACGTGTCACATAATACTTCCTTATAGAACCAATATTTAAGTTGCTTATCCATTTCTAAGCAGACATAACAATATAATTCTTTTCTAAACCTTACATTTAAAAAGATAATAAAAATCTACACAATCTACACAAATATAAAACAAATCAAAACAATAAAGTCTCATGAATGGACAATAATACATAACATTAGAATGTGGAGGATATTTCCCCTGTCACTCCCTAGATTCAGATTTCTTCCTGTACTTCCCATAGTGCATAATTTCCTTTGGTCTTCTTAAGGCAACGGGTATGATATTTTAAAAAAGCATTTCAGAGAAGAAAGAAAATTTATTTCTCCTTACTTTCTTAATTTTAAAGAATATAATTTTGTAGCTTTTATTTTATTACACTTAGTGAATAGCTTTATCATTTATTTTACAACGCCTAGTTGACTGTATCATAACTTTTCATGTGTGTATGCATTACTAAATTGATTACATAGCAATGAAAACTGTGGAGATTTTACAACCATGTCCAGAGCAGAGATCTTCATTACCATATTAAATGTCTAAATTTTGATAGATATTAAACTCCCATGGCACCATTTCTTATAGCATTTACACGGAATTATTCCTTAAATGAGGCAATTTACCTTTGCACGCTGTTCAATGTGTACAAAACATTTCAGACAGATATTCCTACCTAAAAATATTCTATTTTTATGCATTTTTATAAATACAATTTCTGTTCTTCATTTATACATATGAACTTAATGAGGCTGACACTGAAGGAAGAATTTTAGCTTAGTTATAAGATGAAACTTCATAGACTTCAGTGACACAGTTCCAAGCCTAGCTATATTTTTATGTCAGCTGACTAGAGAAGTTAGTCAGCCCTAAATATTTTCCTAAATCCTCAAAAGTCAGAGACAAAAAGTAATTAGAAAAACAACATGGCATTTCTGAATACTGATTCTTAACTTTGGCTTCCTTCAAATCTCTCAGGTACCATATGGGAAGAAATTTTCTATTCTTTTTATCTCACCTTCAAATACTTCTTTCCTCTTTACCTCTTTTGAAAACTTTCCTACAGTGACACACCATATTCCTCAGTCCTCAGCTCCTGGCATCACATTTGTGTACGCGGTCTACACATCACAAATTTCGCCTCCATATGTTATACTGTCTTCTGGCTTATTATAAATAATAGTGGGAAATGGGATTTCTTGACAATTGCATCATTTGAATCTGAAAGATCATTACTGCTCTATTCACATTTTACACTGAAGCCATTCCCTTGGTATCCGAAAGCCTGAACAGCAGTTTAAGCCAGCTATCACATTCGAACACTCCGATGATTTCAGCTGCATGACTTCAATAACAAAAGCCCAGACGAATAAATATTAACATGAACACTCTCCTTCTAGTGTGAAGGCTATTCAAGTAAAACAAAGTTGCAAGTAATTTGTCATATCACAGTGAGAAATTTATTAGTTCATATTCCTTTGGGAGATCTTGTGGCCAACTCTAGTCCTAAAAGAATAATAAAGGTATTATCTTGTATAGCTTGCTGTGTGTTTTTTTAGCTGCTACTTTTAATGTCTAATCAACAACATGATTTCATTCAATCATTCCTGTGCCCTTTTCTAAGGTTTATGACTTATGCAAATGTGTTTCTAAAAGCAAAACCATTACTATAATTTCTTATCTCAGGAAAAGGACAAGGCGGCAAAACAAGTGAATGCTTTACGTGAAAACACTATTTCCTAGCTTTGAAAATCTGTTGATTAAGAGCTAATACTTATAGGATAAAGCATCTTTAAGCTTCAAACCTGAATCTGTCTTATCACCAGGAATCTATCAAAAAGACAAGCTAGTCAGATGGTATAAATTTTATGGAAGCCACTACCTTGGTATTGGACTCTCCTGAAAAGGAAAACTTCAGCAATACAAAATAGAAAATGTTTGCCGTGTCAGAAAGATACTCAGTTTTTGTATACTGTTTAATGTGCCAGTCACTGGTAATGTGTGATAACAAAGCCCCAATAACGACATTTTCAAAGTAGATTCTCAAGCTAAGTTCTCCCAGTCTCCCTGCTTCACTTCCAGAAGGCAGCTAAAAGGCAAGCTGCCTATTAGATCTGTAAGGTGCAGAAGACTGAAGTTAAATTGCCAACTGAATTTTGAAATCCCAGAATAACCCTCAATTGTCACGCCAATTTCTATAGCAAACAAAACTGGACAAGGCAAAGTGATCATTTGTAATAATAAACTAAAGCTAGCGCAAGCAGAAAACATTCAAAAAAATTTTTTTAGACTCAGAGCCTGGGAGCCAACAGTGAGATTCCTTAAATGCCAGCACCTATCCAGATAAAGACAATAAAATTCACAAGATCTTACTCAAGTCCAAAAATATCAGAGACTCAACTTCTTTAAAGAAAGAGGCAAAAATATGTCTACATTCATGTACAAACAAAAAAGACTCAAGCGTGTTCTTTGTAAAATGTACTTGCTGAAAACTCCACAAGTGATTAATTTTAAATGAAATGGTCCAAAAATAGCAGCTGCTGAAGCCATCACAGCATCTTAAGAAAATATTTTTGAGGAAAGTGTGGTCTCTGAACTCTGCAATGCTAATTTCCAAGTCAAAGTCATAAAGGCCAGGGCAATGCTAAGGTGAGCTTTTAAGAGCAAACCCCTTATTTTAAACAAGTCTTTACAGAGTGCATTTCAAAAAAGTGTCGATTCTGAACTATAGAAAATTTCACGGGAATTATAGATCCATTTTTTGCTATGCATAGATGCAATGAGCCATGTGAGCCTTGATCTGACAACAGAAAGATATGATAGTAGTTCTCAAACTTCAAAATGCTCTATCTTTTTAAAAATTCAAAAACATATTCAGCTGAAGAAGGTTCAATTGCAAGAAAGTATATTTTATTAATCGGAATCAGAAACCGCGAGACCACTGAGAAACTTAACTCAATTATTTCTTATGTCATAAGGATACAGGTTCAACCTTGCAAAAAAATACTTTTTTACTGCTAATATCTTGGTTTAGTAACTAAAATCTATTATTTTTTTTACTTGTAGACCTCAGAGTATTTACAGATGATGAAGAGAGACAGGGACACAGGAAGCTCCCCTGCATTACTGATACCAAGAGAGAGAGTTTTGCTATTGACAATCCAGCAAACACTTACTCTATCTTCATCAAGACTTTTGCCATCTGAACTCTCAAGAGTGACATAACCATTGCGATGTTTGTCCTGCGCTGTGAAAGCTGGGAAGCTGGGCCTGTTGGGTGGGTGCTGGTTTGCTGAAAGGCAGCAGCAGATCATCCGGGAGCTCCCTCAAGGGAGCCCCTTGGTCGGCTGGGTCACCTTCAGTGCTTCACCACCACCCGGTCTTGAGAACCTGGATAATTTTATGCAGGGCAACCCACAGTAGGGAAAACTTAATAAACATTACTCTAGAAAGTACCAGTTTCTAAATTTAAGACAAGAAGACTGTTACTAAATTAGTAAGGAAAGAGCACTGCATTTCCGTTGTTTCATTTTTTTTTCAATGGGCGAGGAGGGAATTGTGTCGTTTTGACTTCCATCTTCAACACCATTGCTTTGTCACACTACTTCATGGCAGGAAATTAAGTTTAGTTACTGATACACACTTCAAAATCCTTGGTCATGAGTGTCTGAAAAAAATATAATGTGCAATTTCATTTCTCGCCACTTATTCAGATATTGGAAACACAGAAACTGGATCAGATGAGCAGGGAGATTGTAAAGGCTGGTGGCCTTT